TAAGCTTGTCATCTGGTACCTCAGTCTGGCTGCAAATGCTATACAAACGCTGAAGATGCCTCCGTAGATGGGCAACTTCCATGGAGAGGGCGCCCGCCTAAGACAAGGATGAGGCCTCCCAATGACAGGTAAGGGATGACCCCTCCGGGACGACCTAAGACAGGGGGATCTTCCGTTATATAAAGGAAAAGGGGTGAGATGTTGGGACATGCTGTCCTGGCCTCCATCTGCACCTCCCCCACAGTGACCTTTTGGGCCTCGTGGTTCCTCAGTCTCAGAATTGTTTACCAGCTCATTTTCAGGTATCAGGTCCTGAGAACACCATGACCTGGCACTGACCCTGAGGTCATGCCAGGGCTCCCCCGCCCCCGTTGGGTCAGCTGCCTTCTGGGCTAGGGTATAAAAGCAACCTGGGGCTGAGAAATAAAGGCTTCTTCTGCTACACTAAAAGTATGACTGTCTCTTCAATCCTGACATCCTCCACTCAGAGATCAGCTTTGTGCCGCACAGGAGTGGTAGGTATTCTGTTTTGTAGGAAAGATTATACTGTTGTACAGATTGTGGTTCTTATCTACGAACATGTGATTCTGAAAAGATGGTAACACTTTAAATTTCTTACCAGACACCCAGAGCAGCAGAGACATGAGGACTTGGGTCTCTGACACCATCTTGCTGCCTCTGCCTGACTGAAGCAGTTTAGTCCTCATTGCAAGAGCTTTGTTTATAAATTCTGAGGACCTGGGCTGGGCCTGGAGGGACCTATGCAAAGCAACCAGCAAATAAAAAAGCAAATTTCGAGGGCAGTGAATGTGAGAGTATTTGATGTAAATCAACACCCCAAAATACCACCACAGAAAACTTAATTACAGGAAATGATCACTATCAGTGCTCAAGCAACAAACCACAAGCAGTTCTATTGCCAGCCTTCAGTTTAACTCCAACGCGTAAATTAGTTGAGTTTTCCAGAAATGTTAGGAAAGCTATCTCAGATTGACAATGTTAGGAGAAAAATAAAACGTATTAGAAAACCACAGTGATGAAAGAAAAAAACAAAGCAAGAGGAGAAGGAAGGAAAGAAAGAGAGAGAAAGAGAGAAAGAAAGAAAGAGAAAGAATTAAGTTCTGAGTCCAATTTATGCAAGGCGATAATCTCTTTCTCAGATATATACACACATACACATATATGAATATATAATCAAAGGTAGCTCAAGGTATTTTATATCCAAAACAAATTATTTACCTAGTTGAAGTTTAACATTAGATCTGGAATGTTATTTACAATCGCATATGTATTTAATTAATATGCTCCCTACTTTTATTTTGCTTTTATGCATTCATTTTCCAGGCATAAAATATTAAAAACATTTTTATATCAATTAAAACTGCTAAGAAACATAACAGAGGGATAGGGCTGTAGAGATGGCTCAACAATTAAGACCACTGGCTGCTCCTTCAGAGAACGCAGATTTACATCCCTGCACCCGATGGCAGCTAACAGCCATCTGTAAATCCAGTTTCACTTGCTTTTATGCATTCATTTTCCAGGCATAAAATATTAAAAACATTTTTATATCAATTAAAACTGCTAAGAAACATAACAGAGGGATAGGGCTGTAGAGATGGCTCAACAATTAAGACCACTGGCTGCTCCTTCAGAGAACGCAGATTTACATCCCTGCACCCGATGGCAGCTAACAGCCATCTGTAAATCCAGTTTCACGGGAACTGACACCCTCTTCTGACCTCCTTGGGCATTGCACGAAATGGGTGCATTTACATACATACCGGCAATATACTCATGCACAAATAATAAAAATAATAAAGAAAATATTTTTTAAAAGAAACATACGAAACAAATATGATGTGGTTGAGGAACTTCTGAAATCTAAACTCAAGTTTATGAAAGACAAAAAAATATATGACAGATGAGTAACTGCCCCAGACGGTGTCTACACAGTCGTCCTGTGGTCTAGAACTGTGTACTTTGCTGTGTGTCTGCTACAGTGACTTCATATTCGTTGTCTTTTTAGTTTCAATTACTGCAACTTAATCAGATTGAACCGGGATGGAGTCTTACAAGTCCAAGTAAACTGCTGCAGTAAACACACTTGCTTCTCACAATATGTAAGGAAAGAACATGGACATTCCAAAGATAATTGTCCACAGTCTTTTAAGCATAATTAAAAAAAGCAATACAGAATATTGTTACTACTTTTGAAACAAATAAAGTTTCCACAACATGCTGTGGTTTATAAGATTACTTAGTCTGGGTTTATCAATGATCACGGATCTGTTGGCTGAAAACAACACAGAATGTTCTCTCACATCTTAGGAGGAAAGAAGACCGAACTTGACCACCTTGAGAGCCTCTGAAACAGCACTCAATTCTATAGTTACCAACAAGATTGGGGGACCCAGGGAATGTCAGGTTTAGATTCAAATCATCCTGAGACATTGCAAGGCTGAGCTCAACCTTGCTATTATAATACATAGAATTTCTTTTGAACACAAATGAGTGACTGGGACAACCCAG